TTGTCCGCCCCCCCCAGCCACTGGCCTGGGTGCACCGGCCAGGTCAGATCCCCTTCCCTGCTCGGTCCCTGCATTTAAAAGCCCTTCCCATTCCTTGCTGGGGCTGAGCATCCCCCTGTCCTCCTCCCCAGGCTACCCTGGTCATCGGAGCCGTCCTGTCAGCCACTGAGCAACACGCCCAGTAAGTATCAGCCCCAGCCGGGGTCTCTGGCAAGTGGGGGGCGTCTCAGTGTGTGCAGGGCAGGTGGGGGTGGATGTTGCGTTTCTCCCCACATCCATGTCACGGCTGCTGTGACAGGTCACTTGGGCTGGAGAGGATTTAGAGCCTTGCACAGCCGGTTCCCAGGCTGGGATTTCAGCTGCATCGGCTCTTGTTGTAGCACAAACACACCAAGAATTTCTTTTTCTTTATGGGGCTGACGCAGATGCAACAGAAGCTGGAATCCAGGCTCTGCTGGTTTCTCCCTTGCCCAAAGGGGTATGGTGGGCACCTCTGCCACCACCCTCCTGCCTGTGGGGCATCCCCTTCAGTACCACCCCAGCACTGCCATTAGGGGACATTTTCATGACACCCCATGTTATTCCCACTTACCGTTCCACGGAGCCATGGTCAGGGTGAAGGGGAGTTTCTCAAGGGAACAAGGAGGTTCATCCTCCATGGGATGTTGGGGAGCTAAAGCGGATGGTGAAATGCAACTGCACCTCCTCAATGCAGCCTCTCAGCCTCCGTCCTGCAAGGTTTCCAGTGCATCCCAGCCAGTAACCTGCCCGCCACCGACATCCTCGCGTTTGCCCAGGGACTGCAGAACGAAAGAGTGGAGCTGAGCAGCGCCCAGGTGGGCAGGGGTGGGGGCTGCAAACCCCACAGAGCCCGATGGGGCATGAGGAGCTGGGGGGTGCCGGGGCAAAGGGGCGTCCACCGCCTCGGCATTGACCAGCCCAGCCTCTCTCTGCCCAGCTGTCCTGCCTGGCCAGGCTGCTCGCTGCCAAGAACCTGACGGCTGATTTCAGCAGGTACCCGCCAGACCTGCTGCTCTTCTTTGAGTGAGTATCAAGGGCAGCACACGGCTGCGGTTTTGGTGCTAAATCATGCCACCCAGCACTCGCTAGCATATCCAGCCCTGGCATGCTCGGGGGCAGGTGGGAGCTCATCTTGGGAGCGGAGTGTTATGAAAATTGCCTGCATCTGCAGGCGCCTTCAGACCCACACGGGCATTTCCAGCCCTGCAGACGCCCCTGGTCCTTTCCTCACACCACTCCTCTCCAAGGCTGGGGCTGGCCATGGCATGGGGTGCACAGCATCAGGCAACCCCTGTCCTGTGCCTGAGATCCTCCCCAGGGCAAGAGGAGACCCCCCAGCCCTGTGCAACTTGGCAGCTCGTTGCTCAGAAGGAAGCAACAGTTTAAAACTCTTTTGCCCATGCCCACAAAAAGCAACATTAAAGATCTGCCCAGACATGAGGAGCCCTTTGCCCCCTTCCTCCCCACCGCACTGACTCTTGCTCCCCGCAGCTCAGCCGAGGTGCGCAGTGGGACCTGCGGAGCATTTTATGCCCAGGCTTCCCGCGGGAACCTGGACCTGCTGCCACGGGGCTCAGCCCGGAGGACGGGGCTGCTGCGTGGGGCGCTGGCCTGCCTGGTGAGTGGGGGCTGAGCTGGGGGGGGCAGCCAGGGTCCCCCTGCCCCACGCCAGGCATTTGTACCAGCGCTGGGTTGTCTCTCCCAGGGGGTGAGGAGCAGCCGCCTGCGCCCCGAGCAGCTCGGCGGCCTCGGGGCACTGGTGTGTGACATGGAGCCAGAGACCATCACAGCCTCAGACACCGGCATCCTGGAGAACCTGAAGCTCTGCCCAGAGCTGACAGGGGCCCAGCAGGATGCCCTCAACGCTGTGCTCCTCGGGGGTGTCACAGCATACGGGTAAGGAGCCTTCATCCGCTCTTACGGGGGCGGGCGACAAGCAGGAGAGATGGCGTACCCATGAGGATGCTGAGCTGGTCCTTCCTCTGATGGCCACAGGGATCCTTCGAGCTGGGATTTACAGACTCTGCAAAATTTGGGGCCGCTCGTGCTGGCATTGAATCAGACCACGCTGAGCTTGGTGGCTGAGGTAAGCCCTCTCCTCGAGACCCCAGGGCAAGTTGCCCATCAGCCAGGCCAGCCCCATAGGCTGTGGGACCCAGTACTCTGTAACCTGGCAGGCAGCACGGGAGGCTTTCCGCACGGCCACATACAGCAGCCAGGGACATTCCCAGCGGGAGAAGATCCTGACCTTCCTCAGGGCCTTCGCAGCAGTGTCAGCTTCATCTCATCCCAGGCTGAAGCGGAGCACAGACCGTGAGCATTTCCCTTTGCCACTGCCAGCCCGGACCAGTTCAGAGATCTTGGGGGGGAAAAATGCCCCCGGGCTGGTTGGCATCTGGATGCCCCCCACGGAAGGGGACAGGACCAGGCAGAAAGCTGTGGGATTCCCTGTTAAGTAACTGGGCAGAGGGGAGAAATGTCCTTAGAGCACACTGGGCTGTTTGCTCTTACCTGGGAGCAGGAACATGGCAGCAGCAGCCGCGATGGAGCTGGGGTGGGAGAAAACTCCTGGAGCCAGGCAGGGGCAGCACCACGCTGCAAGACCGGAGGATGCTCATGTGGGTGAAGTGGGAAAGGGTTCACCTTGCCAGAATATTTTTAGTTGCCTTTAGCAGGACAAAGCACACATGGCCTGCAGAGACATCAGCAGATTTTCCAGGAATAACTGTAAGGAATGAAAGTAAATAAGGAGCCTTCATGGGCTGGGGACCCAGGGGATGGGGGTTGATTTATAGTCCCGCCCGGCAGGACGGCTGCAGCAGCGTTATTGCAATTCCCTGTTCGTGCACCAGGGCTCTTCTGAGGGGCTGTGGGGCCCCGTGGCAGGACCAGACCTAGGTGGGCAGGGAGGAACGGCCGTCTGCCTGATGTGCCCTCCCTGCCCGCAGGCTGCCTGTCCAGGCCCATCACGGCCAGCACCATCTCCGACTCCCTCATATTCAGCTACTACGACACCAGCGAGCAGTTCGACCTCTGCCTGAGCAATGAGGTTTTAAAAGCAAACCTGAAGGCTCTGCTGGAACAGCCGCTCACCAAGGAATACCTCTGCATCGTTAAAAAAAAGCTGGAGCAGGTGATGGGTGACACAGGGCAGGAGCCCCTGCGCAGCCCCGTTAGCATGGGTGTGCTCTGGGACAGGCGAGTCCCGCTGCGGGGACGGGCGCCACTGGCTGCAGGGATGAAGGCACCCGAGAGGGTCCTTTGCACCCGATTCTGCCACCTTTTCCCTTCCCTGACCCTCTTCCCTGCCCCGCTGGCCTGGCCCTACAGATTTACCCGTCAGGGATCCCAGAGAAGGAGCTGAAGGTGCTCGGGCCACTGTCCCAGCTGTACACGGCAGAGGAGATCAGCCTGTGGCCGGTGACATCCAATGACACACTCCTGGCCCTGCTCAAGACCTTGGATACCAAGTGGAGCACTCCCCAGGTAAACCCACGGCAGCAGCGGGGGACGGGTGCCGGTGAACCTAAACCGGGACCAGTTGGTGTCCAAGCCCAGCTGGTAGCGGAGGCATTGCCAGGGGGCGGCACAGCTGTTTTGCAACGTAGAAGCATTTCTACCAGAGCATCTTCCTTCCCTGCCTGTGTGCAACCACGTGAACTGTGTTTCCCAGGTCCAGCAGCTGGTCAGCAGGTACCTGGCCCTGGGGGGCACCTTGACTGGGCCCTTGCTTCAGAAAATTGGGGGGCCAAACCTGTGCAATCTGCAGGAGGGGCAGCTCGAACAAATATCTCCAGAAGCAATCAGGTAAGCCACTTTTTAGGGGTGCTTTTCAGTACTGCGGGGCCCCTGGGACCGCAGGGAAAGGGGATGGAGGGATGGCAGGCTCCCACCTGCGTTTCAGCTCTGCCCACGTCCTGCTCCCAGCTCCAGCCTGAGCCACCAGCACCGCGGGCAGGCACAGGCTGCTCATCTCCCCCTACCAACACAAGGGCTTTAGCTCTGGTTTGTGGTGGTGCCCCCAGCCTTAACCTGTGACCCTCCCTCTCCCAGGACTGCCGGACAATTAAACATTACTTCTTGCTCTCAAGCCAAGAAGGACCAACTCTACAAAAAAGCCCAGGAGGCCTTTGCTGGCCAGGCTGGCACCACCAGGGCATATTACTGCCGGATTCAGCCATATCTGGGTAGGTGGTTCAGCCTTTGCCCTCTTTCCCATGGTGACTGAGGTTGGATGCCTCCTCCTCAGCCAGGGGACTTTACCACACTGGAGCAACGTCTCGCAGTCTCCCAAACCCCTCTCCCAGCACTGGAAGTGTTTGCACATGTCCGGGTGCCCCATGCACTTTCTTTAAGGTGGAGCTCCAGCAAAGGACCTGAAAGATTTGGCTAAAACTGGGGTCGCCATAGACATGGACAAGGACACCTTTCTTGCCCTAAACCCTGATGAACTGCAGGTACGTCCCCGGCATGCTGCTGCTCTGTCCCCTGCTGAAGGGCAGGGCTAGTCAAGGGCTGAGTGCTGGGGGTCGAGGCTGCAGCCCCATCAGATCACCGAGTCGCTATTTTTTTACCTTTTTAAATTTTCTTTCGGTATCGCTTGCTCTGCAGTCCCGGTTAGAAAAGCACTACTGTGGCGATGCTGGTTGTGAGGCTGAACAAAGATGTCGTTGTATGTGTATTGCAGAAACTCAGCGTCATGGACGTGAAAAATTTGCTTGGGGAAAACCTGCCTTCCCTGAAGGAAGCTGAAAATGAGACCTTGGTGATGCTCTGGGTGAAGAGACAGTCCCAGCGGGAACTGGACAGTATCCTGGGAATTGGCCTGCGAGGGGGGACGGAGGAGTCTGTCCCCACGGATACGGCCACCCCTCCTCACTCCACTGCCTTGGCCAGTGTCACCCCCGTGGCTACCATGCCCACGCCCACCACCCTCCTTGCTGTCCCCACCCCTATTTCCATTAACAGCCTCCCCACCGCTCATCCAAGCATCAGCCCCACCCCAAGCGCTACCAGCCTGACCTCCCCCACCAGCGCTCCCAGTGCTGGGAGTCCCCCTGCCACCTCCACCGCCCGACCTGCTCTGACCACCAGCTCCATCATCCCATGCTCCATCCACCAGTCTGCCACCTCGAATAAGGCCACCCCCGCCGCTGTCACCCTCCTCGCCACCACCCTTGCCTCTGTCAACCCCAATGGCACCTCTCCCCACTCCATCCCACCCCCTACTCTCACGCACAGGGCCAGCACCAGCATTGTTACCAACCCGGCTGTTACCACTCACAACACCAGCACCCTACCGGTGCCCACGAACCCCCCAGCACCCGGGGACACAGCCAACCCCACTCCTGCCACCCGTAACACTGCTACACTGAGCACCCACAATGCTCCCAGCACCCTTGTCCCTAACTCCACGCCTGCACCCGCTGCCACAGAAACGAGCCTCCCTCCCCACAAGCCCACCCTGATTCCCAACTCCACCATCTCCACCCAAAGCGTCATCTCCTCAACAGCCAAGACTACAACATTGGCTTGCAAGACCAGTACCCGCCCAGCATTTCTCAGCCCTTCTTCCACTCCCACCAGCAGTGAGACCACTAAAAACCCACCCACAGGCACGCCAGAGTCACTGACATCAACACCCAACGGATACATCAACCTGCAACCTGGAGCTGGTAAGGTGCGAACGTTCTGAGTTGGGAAAGGCTTAAACTGATGGCGAGGCAGAAATCTTCACCAAGAACCTGTTCCACCTTGTTTCTGGCCAGATTCAATACTGGTGTGCTGCTGTCCACAAGAAAACCCAAGTCGTTAAAGGCTGGGCAGGTAGCGAGGTGTCTCTGCAGGGCGTTACAGCCCCTGGATCTGGAGCATCCCATCTTCAGATCCCACGCGCTCTGCAAGTCCGGCAAGGTCCACCTTAAGATGTCTCACCATGCACAGCACCCCCGGCCCCTCCACAGGAAGCTGGAGTCATCATGTTAATGCCAATGCACTGTACTATTTTTCATGAGGAAAGGATGCCATATTTTAGCTGCATTTTAGTGTATTTTAGTAATATTTTAGTGTTTCTGACTTGGCATCACTGTAAAAGCCCTAAAGTCTGAAGTCCTTTAACCTGACGGAGCTACATCTGTAGCTTTAACGACTCAGATTTACTCCTGCTTTACGCTGGTGAAAGTATGGAAAGACTCAGTCCTGCTGACTGTTCACGGCCAGGTGACGTTTATAAGGGGGATGCAGGACAGCGCCTGGAGGCGCAGGTATCAGCAACAGCACAAAAGGTAGAAAAGCATTGTACTGACACATGGGATCCTCTGGAGTATCTGAATCCCAAAGCAGCTCCACTGCCCTGACAGCTCACATGGGCTCTTTATCCAGATAATCCAATTCTTTCTCATCTGTGCTCTCCACCTAGGATCATCAGGATCCAGACTCTCCTCCTGCATAGTGCCCATACTGATGATGGCCGTGGGAAGCTCTCTGCTGCAAGGGTTTCTCTGACACCGCCACCTCCGGCACCGTATGCGCTGGATCCGTCCTTTAATTTTCGCCATCCTGCAAAATAACGGTGCTGGCAAATTACCTGCTGAAAAGCAGAAACTCAGGAAAGAAACAGAGTTTGTCCATTTGATCCCAGCATGGAACTTGTTCATTATTTCTGAGGCTGGGCAGTGAAAGGAAGACAGATATTTTTCCAGCCCAAGGGGTACTAATGGGCTAGTTGCTCTATATAATACAATTATCAGCAACATTGACTGGTCTGGCAATGCATTGATGCTGACAGAGGGCCCCATTCTGCCAGCTTTGTGGTATTTTACCTCTTAGAAGCCCCACTGGGATCTGTTGCAACAGTGGGACGACTCAGGGATTTGAGTTACTGGCCATTGCAAGAGAAGCAGAATACGGCCCAGTGACACAGTCTGAAAGCTCAGAGATCCACTAAATTGCATTTAACTGATTTCATGAACTTACAAGATTTTTGATCAAGATCTGTTCAAATTACACCAAGCCTATTTAAGAGGGATGATTAAATGAAGAGTTTATCTTGATTACTCTCACGATGCTATATAATAAAACATCAATCAACTTTTTTTTTCCCCTAATCAAATGTGTTCTTTGATGTGCTTAGTGCTTTGTAGCGTAGCTTTTCTAGCTAGTTTAAATCTAAATGGATGATGGAGACTCCCTTTCCACATGGAGAGGACAAGGGGGAACGGACACAAGTTGCTCTTGGGGAGATTCCCATTGGACACAAGAGGGAAATTTTTCCCCATGAGAACAGTCAACCATTGGAATAATCTCCCCAGGGGAGTGGTTGACTGTGCCACTTTCAAGACTCAGCTGGACAGGTTGCTGGGCCATCTTGTCTAGACTGTGCTCTTGCCCAGAAAGGTTGGGCCATATGATCCTTGAGGTCCCTTCCAACCTGGGATTCTATGGTTCTACGATTCTGTTGCTCTGACTTTCATTCATTAGCTAGTATCTCCTCCTCCAACAGCTCTGCTACAAGTGACCATTTCTCTCTCCAACTTGCAGACCTTCCACTTACCCGTTTCATTCCCCACGGGCCAATGAGATTCTTGCACATAATTTGTTGAGAATGAGTCAAGGGATGAAGCAACAAACCAAGATTTCTATCAGGGGATCACTGCTGTCATAAAAATAAGTCTGTCTGTCTTACCTTGGGCTCTCTCCCACACTATCTAGTGCCCCAGCACCATGGGATGCAGGCAGTGGGGAAGCGTCCCTTGCCACCCAGAAGTCTGCACTGAAGGACAGACCAGATCATCCTGTTCTCTTTCTGTAAAGCACAGGCAATGAACATTTATAATGTCTTTGCATGCAGGCTCTCCTCCTGGGGGAAAAGGGGGATGTCAGGGGCTGGATACAGGTGACGCCAGGGCTTTTTTGGACAGAAATTCCCAATGAGTGGGAAAAAAAAAAAAAGCGTTGAAAATCTTACACAAAGTTCTTATACCCTCCCCGTGAGGAAGCCAAGAACAGCCCCAGCCCTTGGAGTTGAGTAGCCAACACCAAAGCAAAGTCACAGGCACGTCAAACCAATACCTGCGGACACAGAGGTGCAGGCAGTCTGAATGAAAAGACAAGAGCAACTCACCAATTTGCTTCTGCCATTTTTTACTTAGTTCCATTATTTATTTACAATCAAGCCAGAAAACTTCACTCCCACTCAGAGGTCTTGGCAATGCCAAGACATCAGGCCCTTTGAGAAATATAATCGTTAACATGGAGAACAGCCCATCTGCTCACCCTTAAACCTGCCAGGGTGGCACGGTAAAATACTGACGTTGTTTGTGTTGCGCTTATATGGCTGGGCCTTACCTGGGCTTGGTCTGTACAAAAGGCAAAATATCCTGTGCCAAAGAGTCTGAAACATTCCCTTCAAACAGAACACTGGGGTTTTTTGGAGTTGTGTGTGTGTGTGTGTCTGTGTGTGTGTGTGTTTGGGTTTTGGGGGCTTTGGGGGGAGGAGGGGGAGTGGTGGTTTTGTTGGGGTTTTTTTTTTGGTTTGTTTTGTTTGGGTGGGCGTTTTTTGGGGTTTTTTTGGTTTGGTTTTTTTTTTTGTTTTTTTTTTTTTGAGTTATTTGAAAGAGAAAAGTACCTATAAGTGAAGCCTGGGCTGCATAGCAGTTGCTGGCTAGCACTGAGCACCCCCTCACCCCCCTGCAGGGGCTGTTCTCTTGAGGAAAGATTTTTCAAGACAAACCCGACATCATCAGGAAACTGATAAGCAGAGCAGGCAGGAGGTGGAGCGTCATGGCCATGGCACCCAGAGAGGCTGAGGATGGCACTAGAAGAAAAAGAGGGGGCATCAGTGCAAAGAAATCAACAACTGAACCATCCCCCCATAGGGGAGAACATCCTGTTATGCCACATCCAGGGAAGATCTCTGGCTTTCCGACTAGGACTACCTAACTGGTAAATAGCCACCCCTAACAGGACCACCAAGTCATAGCCCAAATCTGGCACACAGCAGAGGAGGAAGCTCTGGAAGTGCTCACTCAGTTGAGATGTTCAGAGAGCGAGGATGCTCTCAGTGGAATTACAGGATTGCTTCTCATCTTGGACTTGGAATTTGCTCTGCAAGGCTTAAGGTTCCTTGGCAGCACTGACGTTGCTGCCCTTTGATGCCAGGAGGTGAAGGGAGGAGGTGAGTGCTGCCCAACACATTTTATTGGGGCTGGGTGGACAGGTAGTGACAAGTTTCACTGGAAGGGGTCCACCGTAGCCCAGATCAACAGTCTGCTCTCTTAGTACAAAAGCAGCCACAGCAGGACTTTCCACTGCCCTGGCACAAGCACTGCTGAGAGCAGGAGCAGAGATGTTTGGCATCACTGCCCCAGGCCACCGCTTGCTTGAGCAAGGGCCTGACTTGGGGCCCTGGGAGCTACATCAGCTTGGTGCACTCCCTTCTCTTTCACAGACAACTGAAAGCACCTCATGTCCATAAAGCAGTTGTTCTCCTTGCTGTAACCCAAAAATAAATACTTAAAGCACAACAATCAGAGGTCCTAACATACTACATACGCTGAAATTCAGGCGTGACAATGTTCATGTAGCCTTCTTGGGTTCCTCCAGTAAGCCCAACGTGCAGTTTATCCAGTTCTGATTGTTTCTGCATTTGGACCCACTCCCGGATGGGAGACTTGTACTGCCATATCTCCAGATCTCTGAGATTCATCCCCAGCAAGCCCTGAACCTCCGAAGGTGTCAGGCTCTAAGAGAAATCAAAGAGCAAGAATTATGGGTGTAAATGCAGGAATGGAAACAATACCTCTAACCAAGGAACCAACGATGTTTCTATTAGCAGAAGGGTGAAGAACGAGGAGGACAGATTTCTGGCGAGTGGTTTCGGTTGGGACACTCTTGCCTTAGGTTAGGTCCATGAACACAACGGTTCCTCAAAGCCTATTTCTTTTGTCCTCTGATGACGAGTTCTCTTACACCCAAGTGGGGGCCCTAGTCCCTGCCCAAATCACTGGGATTTCTTCCAAAAATGATGATATTACTGCTAACTCTTGTTAAAAGATTTGTCACACAGCTGTTGGGATGTCCTCTAGTAAATGCCTGTCCCCTGCTCCTGCCACTACTGCTATGAGAGCCGGTTCTAAAAAAATTCCCCAGTAAGACTGGCTAAGCATCCATGTACGACTCCAATTTACATTTTTAAAGAAGTTACAGGCCAGTTCTCCACTTTCTACTGGTCTAGCATCATTCTGAATTTGATGGAGTGACTCCTGGTTTACACCAATGGACAATGCAACCAAAATCAACTACTTAGCATGATACGAATGCAAGGAGTCAAATAATATCAAGATTCAGCTCACCATCAAAGAGTCTCTCCTTAACTTCGCCAAAGTGCTAACTTTCATGTTCACATTGTCCTTGACAAGAGATCTGAGATCCACAGCAGGAGCACCCCCTAGGACCCAGAAGAGAAATCAATCAATGCCTGGAGGACAGCCCTCAAATGAGCAGTGTTGCATATCTGTATAAGCTGGGGCTGTAATGATGTATCCAAAATTTATTAGGCTGGGGGTGCCAACAGAGCGAGTTCCAACTGCAAAATATATGGATGCTACTTCATTTTGCTGGGAGATATTATTACATTGGCCATTCAACCAACCTGTGACAATGCCAGATGCTAGACAGAAGAGTTTGCTCAGGCTGTGAATAAATCCTTGGCTTAACAGGGAAAAAAACCCAATAAAATCTATGTTTTGTGACATGGAGATAGGCTGTGAGATAAGTGTTAAGCATTAGCAGCTTCATTTCTCATGGATCTAGCAGATCTTACCCATCCCGGAAGTCACGAGTTTGATTTTCTCTGTGATAGTTTGACAATTGATTTGGGCAACTTTAAGTCAGGTACAGAATCTTTCAGGAATATTTTATGCCATCTACAAGTTGGAAGACCCGAACTCCCTGAAACTTAACAACTTGGCTTAGAAAATTCCCACATCCTAGATGGTATTTGACACCTATTCAGTTTCCCGTCTCTTTCCCCATAACATATGGTTCTTTTACATACCTAGATATGGTTCGATAAGCTCATAGTAAGCAGGTAAATAGTGCTGGTCCGAGAAGGCACGTTTTGCTTTAGCATATAAAATGTCTTTGGTAAGCTGTGAGCAGGCTGAAGGATTCAGAGATGCCAGTCTGCAGAAAAATGAACACTTCAGGAGAGAAAGTTTTTATCTTCAATCTGAACAAATTTTGAAGTATTCTGAGTATCTCTCTGGGATTCTCTACACAGGACAGGTTTCCCCCTCTCCCCAGTAGATAGAAGAGGTATGGAGAAGGTACACAAAAAAAAATAATGGCTCAGTCTCCTGCTCAAAATGTCTTCTAAGTGATGATGGCTCTGATGGTGCATGATAAGTTTATGTGTTTGCAAGGATACAGTTATTTAATTAATTTCACTTAGCAGTCTTTCAAAGAAATTTAAAATAAATGTAATTAACTCTCTTTTGCCTCTAGATAAAAGCATGCATGCAAACCGTATCTGTTGTCAGCTGAGGTGCAATACAGTTTGATTGCAAATTTGAGCCCTTCCTGGCAGGATGGAGCACAGCAGACTTTTAAACCTGGACACAGAGCAGGTAACTATGTTGCCTCCTAGATTTCCATTCACTTAGTGGAGAGAAAAGGAAACTGCACTTGCTGATGAGAAAGTGCTTTTGCAAGAAGCCAAGAGCATCACAATATTTGACTCACTTAAAGCTGTTGGAGTCTATCATATTCAACTCGGCTGCATTTAGAAGGCACACATATCTTGTACCAATTGCATTCAGTGCAGTGGCATTCAAGGCATTTCCCAAGCCAACATATCGTTTAATAATTGCAGAAGCCTAGAAACACATTTAGTTTTTTTAAAAGTTAACTTGAGTCAGAATTTATGTTTTCATCCTCAAAAGAAAAACAAAAGCAATAGTTACAAAAATAAAATTGAATAATTTCAAATCTATTTTTTTGGGCTTCAAAGATGGGTCAAACATCTCTGAACCCACTAAGCTAGTCCTAAAACCAGCAGCTCCCAAACCAGGAAGCAAACATGGGCAGGAAAGCAAACCCAAATCCCCACCTCATCATCAGGTGGTTCATTTTTTAGCAAGACAGTCAGTGTGTCAGCTGAAGTTATCTTCCATTTGGAAACGTCCTCAGGGGTGATGAAAAAAATGAGCTGGCCCAGTTTGGGCAGCAGACTTTCAGGATACCCATCGGGATATGCCTGTGGAAAGACCATTGTTATTACTATGAACGCTCTTTATCCTGCCTGTGCTTATGAATTTATACTCTTTGCAACATGATTGTGGAAAAGACCAAAAGGACGGTGAAGATAAGAAACCAAAGCCAGTGAGATTCCACGAGCCCATCTGTCCTTTTTCTGCTTGATAGGTCAGGCAAGCAGGCACCAGGGGAAGGAATAAAACCTGAAGCACTGTGAACTGACTCGATGCGGACCTGGGTGGACAGTATGGCTCACAGTAATGAAGGCTGATCAAATACCAGGCTTCCCTAGCAGCAAGCACAGCCAGCAGGCCAAGGGAAGCGATTATTCCCCTCCGTTTGGCTGGCACTTGCAAGACCCCATCTAGATGCTATGTCCAGTTTGGGGCTCCCTGGTACAAGAAAGATTTTGACAAAGTCTAGCAAAGATTAACAAGTCTAGCAGAGGGCCACGCTAGTCAGGGGGGCAGAAGCACACAACATAGAAAGTGGAGCAGTGGGACTGAGGGAGCTGGGATTTTTAGTCTGGAGAAGACTAGGTGAGGATTTCATTACTGTCTTCAACTATCTAATGGGAGATTATAGGGAGGATGGAGCCACACTCTTCTCAGAGGTGCACAGTGAAAGGATAAGGGCCAACAGGCAGTGAAAATTCTGATTAGATATTAAGACAGGCATATTTTCACAATAAAGGTGTTCAAACATTGGAAGAGGAGCCCAGAGAGATGGTAGAGTCTCAGTCCTTGGAGATACTTAAACGCAACTAGTCAAGTCCCTGAGCAATCTCATCAGTAGATGATCTTACATTCTTCAGCCTGGCATTACCTCATCCAGATACCTCTTCAGCACAGCTAATTGCGGAACACTGAAAGGGTAGGTCAGTATCTGAGAGAGGTGATTCTCCAGAGATACATTCTTCAGGCAAGCATGTAACTCCTCAGGAGTGTAGTAAATAGGCATCAAGTCATCATTAAGAATCACCTCTGTTATCTCCTTGCCAGGTGGGCAACCTGTTAAAGCAATTATCAAACACGCTCAGTGTTAAATACCATTTTGCTTCAAGCTTTGAACACTCCCTTGCTGGAGATGGGCAGGTATGCAATCATGGTTCCACCCTCCTCCTGGGTGACCTACCACCAAGCATTTCGTAGCTCAACTCAGACCTATTCAGGGAGACACACAAAGCACTAGGGTCAACCCTGATACCAGGGTTGCTATTATGGATCAGAGAAAGCTCCCATACCATCAGCACGCTTATGCCGAGTAGGTCGGAGTTCTTCGACAACGGTGGCCAGCTGTTCCCTTGACAAAGGTGAATCACGTGCAAAATTTTTCAGCCAAAGAATTAAAGCATTCTGCAAAGAAAATGTTTCATCATGGGGATATTGCAATCTTGGGCATATCACCAGCATAAGAAGTTGCTACTCACACAGACAAGAAACTTCATTGTTGAAGTACTACAGGCAGCAGACCTGCTGCTATTAGCCCAGAGACCTTTCCTTGGCGAGCCAAAGGCAAATTTCTAAATGCATAAACTCTATCATATCCCACATCCCATAAATGATTTTACCTCCTCACAAAGCACTGTATATGGTTACTACTGCTTTCCACCTCTGGTACTCTTCTGCCAGTTACAGGAAAATGACAGCAATCTAGATTTGCAGTTCCAGGCTGTCAGCTTGATCAACCCTCACTTCTCATAGACCATCCATCCCCTTTGGCACCACACTTTTAGATGAAGACACTACTGAAAACATACTGGCTGAACAACCCCCCATCATACTTCTTCCATACTGCAGGACCTAGGAGCGCTTCCCAAACTCCCCAGACCTCTACGAATAACTCACCTTGGGGATCTTCTGCAAGATGCTGTGATCAAATACAGGAATCAATCCACTGAGCTCGTTCAAAGTAAAAGCTGACCATGCTACAGGAGGCCTGCATACAAAAACTAGCAGGGATTAGCTTTCAAGGAAGGACAGAAAAAAAAACAACCAACCAAAAAACCCCAAACCCATCCACCCTAAAAGCTGCCAGGATTATGTCCTTGTAACATCTGAAGTTAAGGAAATACAAGATTTAAATCCTAAAACTTCTTGATCACTTCCCGTTACACAAAACTTCATTCCACCAGAGCAGGAGCAATTGTTAGTAACATGAAAAAGAGCAGCTGGATGGGAAAATGGCATTTAACAAATACCTTCTCTTCCTAAGCAAAGAATATCTGTTGCTTACTATTGCCCAATTCAGTGCCAAGATCTCAGGGCATTTGACACAGGAAGGGAAAATATTTTTTTCTGTTAGATATAGCCAGGGATTTATCAAGCATCTGACAGGTAGAAACAGAATGTTTTCTGAAAGCCAGTGGCTGACAAACAGCTCCAGCCCACAGCGTTCATCAGGACAGCCTCAGAGAAGTCTGATTACTGAAAGACAGACCAAAGGAAAGGCTTTTATAACTAGAGCAGGTGAGACATAGAAACAACAATTTTTTTTTCAGTGGAATTCCAGACAAACTTTTCAGGTGAAAGAAGTTAAAATGAAACAATGTAAAAAGCCCAAAGTGAAATTCAAAAGCAACAAATTATTCAAGTTTTTGAACAAGCTGGTTGGCTGGAGTTCACTCAGGTATTAACATGGTTTTGCTTAAGGGAACTGTTTTGCTGATGCCCAGAAGAAAAATTCATACCCAAATGTAGTGTTACCACTGCTGATGACGCTCCTAATAGCTTCTTCTTGATCAGGCAGGAAAGCGTCACACTGGCTTAATTGCTTCAGCAAATTCCCACCAGAACTTCTAATGTATTCTCCACCCAGGTCACAGACCAAACGTCCTAGAATGTCTGCATCTTCCTCATTTACTTGCATGCCAGGAATTTTCTGAAGTAATACAAGACACAGGTACTAAATAGAACTGGGTGCCACTGTAGAAGAGCATTCTCGAGCCCCAAGTTCTCCTCAGCCTTGTGCAGAGCTGTCCCCTCAACACGTACCAAACATGCTAAAGCCTCCATGAGCAGCTGTTTCCGCTGAGATGATTCTCTTTGCAGAACATCAAGATTTGCTTTCCCAATATTAGCAAAGTACTGCCTACAGCTTCCTGTCGCTGCATAGTCTGAAGGACTAGAAAGACAAGACAAATACTCCATGAGTTCTAGTGAATGATAACAAACAGTTGGTCAGGTTCAAGGCTGTTCTACATATACTGTGCCCAATGCAACATCTTCCAAACCTCCAGACTAAAGTCTACGCAGTTGTTCTTCCCAAAGATCCTAGTCCACTTTTTTAAAAAACTCATTTTCACCTTAAGAAATTTGTTGTGAGACTCATCGTAAAATTGTGCAAGATTTGGTTACAGAACCACAGCGGGTAGCTAAATGGAAAAAAAGAAATCCACTCTACTGGCTGTTTTCTTTGATGCTCTAAGGGAAAAGCACATTCACAGAGGCCAAAAAGTACTAACACCACATACTGGTTTCATATCCAAATAGATGCATTTTAAAAAGAGCTTCATACTGTTTATATTAATATGATGGATGAATCTGAAGGGACCTTAAAACCCTTTTGGAAGCTTTCTGCAATCTGATTTCCTCCCCGCTGTAAGGAGGCCTGAACAAATTTGAAGTATACAACAAACATGAACTAGTCATTACCAGCTAGGTTATAAAGTAATACCTCTCTTTTCCACAAAGTACTAAGGCAACAGCATGAAATCCATAGCACTGTTACCTTAAAAACAGCAACAGGTCTTTAGGATAGCTGTCTAAATCCTTGGGAATCCCATGCAGCATCACCATCTTCACTAAGCAACTCAGCTGAAAGGACACCACAGTTTACAAAGAAAGAAAACAGCATGAAAACATAAAAAAAAAATAAAGCAAAGATCCTCAAGAAAAAAAAAAAAAAAAAAAAGGAGAACAAAAAAAAAAAAAAAAAAAAAAAAAAAGGAGGACAGAAATCAGAGGGTTTTGACTTCTCCTCTCTTCAGGGAAATTCAGAACTCTGGGATGGAGACCCAGGACCAGTTATATTTGTTCTAGTCCCTTAAGCTGAAAGTGGTTTTGTTCTTGCTGAAAAATCCTCATTGCTACCTTCGTGACAACATCAAACACGGCATTTTGAAATACGGGAACTGACCTGGTCTTCTCCTAGCTTGACATTCTTCTTCTTCATGACTTTGGCCAGCTCCTGAACCCTTCCTGCTTCCATCTCATTGGCAGTTGCACACGTGAAGCCTTGGAGGACTGACTGGGAAAGCCTGAACATTTACAGAAAGCAAATCAGAGGGGCAAGGACTTCAGGAGAAAATTCAATGCTGATCCTCCACATGTATAGTGATAAATACAGCAACATAAACCTCCCCCATTCTCAAAGCTTAACACTCTCCAAACTCCATCCCCTCAAAAATGCTAATCTTGATTTATGTGGGAGATAAGAAGCCATCGCTGGTCAAATAAACATATCCTAGAGACTTGTACTGGAAGTAGAAATGCAGGGACCTCCACCCCAAGTAGTATTGCTGTATCCTCATTTACAAGATCAGTCTCCTCCCAGTGTTTTCAGTACATACCACATGCTGAAAGTGAAATGGAGTTGTGCAGATCCTCATCACTGAGCATAGTTTACACAGCCTGGGAGAGCTCAGGGAGAAGTCCTTAAAATTTTAGTTGCTTTCTATATGGAAAAGCTTCTATTGTGAAAACAGCAGGACACTAACATCAACTCCATTGTTTTTGCAGATAAATATCAGGGTTTTCATAATTTTTCATCTTGTATACAAGAGCTGACAAAAGCCATTTATCAGCCCCACTAAATTTAATCCCTGGAACAGCACTGTGGAAGACTGGCATATTCTCTGATTAGAAACGCCTTCCACAGAGCCAGTTCCAGAAGCAAGGTTCCAGGTGCAGTCTGAGCCAGCAGCACCATTTTAGAAAGCAAGTGTGGCTTATGGCTCGTATTTTGCAGCGGACACCCTGGTAAATCTTGATGCTACATGCCTGTGTTTGGGTTTGTGTATTTCCCATCTGTTGCTGTGGATGGAATATGGTGGGTCTGCCATAGGAACCAAAGGAAACACAGAAATTGCAATCGAAGCAACCATAAACAGGGAAAATGGAAGGAGAGAAGAGAAACACTACCTGCTGAAGTCAGGCTCTGTCTTTATCACATCATTGAAGAACATGGCAGCCTGTGAAGCAAAGCCAGTGTGTCAGTGGCTTACCATGCTCTTTGCAACTTTCACCTGTATTTTCAGACAATTTGCAGAGTGGACTCATAGCTCTGCAGAGTCCAAGGCTGACACTGAGGAGTAAGGAGGACACAAGCCACTAGCATATTACCTGTTCTCGGGTCCACATTTTACTGTTGAGATCCTGAATATTGGGCTTCTCTTCCCCAAAAATAAGGAATGATTTTGGAATGTAACTGGCCAGAGCATCAGGGATATATTTAACCAGGTCAGTAGGGTGTCCTACACTGGAGGAAATCTTAAAAAAAAAACAAGACAAAAAACAAACCCAAAAATGTATCATCCAAGCACTGTGGCTAAAATAAACAATTGCTAGAGAAGAAATGACGAACTGGAAAGAAGCCAGGAAAATTCCCCTGCTGATTATCTGGGCATTTCTCAGACACCTAACATTATGAAATAGTTCCTGTTTGACATATTCATCAGACTAGAAGAGCTGCCTGGAGCCAATATCTGGGATCCTGATGAATGGGAACGATTCAGTCTCTTATCAGTTTTCTACCTCCTGGCTTTATGCCCTAAAAATGTTTAACTGGACAGAAAGGAGGGACATGTCTTTCCCCTCTGCCAACCCAAGCACAATGTCTCTACTTGCCAAAGGCACATTGTGGAACAACCCTGTGGTGAATGAGATGTTATTTCCCTAATGCTTCACACAGGGCCCCGGCAGCAGGACACGCTATAGGCCCCTGCCCGGTGTCAAACACAGGTCAGAGTCATTCCTGCCAGAGGGAGGATGAATAACAACCAACTCAAATGCTACACATGCAACTTGAGGCTAAAGTCATGGCAAGAAAAAAGGCAAAGAGGTGTCCAAATCCTACACAATCACACAGGGGGGTGAAATAGTGCACTGCTGAAGGATCAGTCTACCCTAAAAGGGACTTTCTAAGCTGCCTTCACTTCTCACATGTTCTTACTCCAAACGATGACAAAATCCTTTTTTCTGAGAACATCTTCTCAAGTCAGTGGGGTTAGGAGTAGCTTCTAGGACCATCCTGTAAAACAACTGCCTCTTTTGCCCTCACCCCCAAGAGGCTCGGCAGGACACACTGCCTGACAGCCAAGGGCGCCTACACAGGCACAGTGACAGGGACTTGTCCTGCTGCACGCTCTGCTTAGCAATGCCGAGGGAATGCTAAAGGGAATGCTGTCTGGGTGTGCGGCTGTGTGTTGATGCCTGGCCCCAGGTAACCAGCATTCTTAGCTGTGAGTCACTGGAGCTTTGCTGATTTATGACACCTGAAGAGAAAAACAACTTTACCTTTTCCATAAACGTCATTTTCAGAGCAGAGGGCAGGGTCACCATTTGCTGAACAAACTCAGGCAACTTAATGGCTTCCAAGATCACTTCTGGAGACAGACTTCGAAGTGTGCTGCTGTTGAGGCCAGCCACCAAGCTCCCTAGCTTTGCCAGGCTCTGTCCATCCATGATCTGAAAGGTAATGCAAGTAGACATGAGTACATGAAGGGCCAAACATCATTTGCTAGCAGCTAGCTATACCGGGTGTGAGGTGCATTTGTGGACATCGTCCATTGTACCTGATAGCCAGAGCTGAGCAGTTTGTTGATGATAGTGCTGGACTGCTCAGCGTTCCAGCCACGAACCTCACCCAGGGCAGGAATAGATGCTTCAAGGTCTTTATCAGTGATCCTGTTTTCGATGTCTGATATGGACAGCCCAATTGCAGCCTGGCCCAATGCATGCAGGACTGCAGGAGGGAAATGCTCAAACTTTCTCACCAGAGAGGATGCAACCTGAAAAGGTCCCACACAGACAGAAGAGAAAGTCAGAGGAGCAATGACATGCACTTGTTGTATCCTACAGCCTTTGGATGTCTTAAATCAGTATACTCTGCCTCAAACTTGTGTGATGAAGCCTGTTGAAGGACTGCCTCCACCCACTGAGAATTTTCAGATTATGAAACACCAGCCAGACACCACAATAAAAAAAGGCAAGGTGACCTACAAGAGTGTACACAAGAAATGGCATGAGAGTTGACTCCTCAACCCTCACAAATTTTGTCTAGGTGAATGAAGAACTGAGTCGCGGGGCTGGACAGGAGATTACCTGCAGTTCCTCTGTTGTCAGGGAGGAGGGAGCTCTCTCTCTAGTTATTCCTCTGTGTGTCAGGTTCAACGGGCAGCTCCTACTGATCCGCTGGGCCAAGCTCAAAGCATCATCTCTACTCAGGTTGCTCACTGCTGAGGGGCTCAGGTAGCAAACAAATCTGTCTGGGAGACTGCAGGTGGGAGACAAAGAGGAGAGGTTGCCAGTATAAGACAGTGGCTCTGTCAGATCTTTCCTCTTTTTCCAAAGGATGCTCTTTTCTAGTGCACATTTCCCCTGATTCATTTTAGCTTTGACAATGCGGATGCTCCTGTTCATAGAGAGTACTACTGTGTCATGCAAAACTGCAAAAAAACATGCAAGATGCACTGCTGGTTGGTGGCTGACACTGCATGACGGGCATTTCTCAAGATTTAGAACTTGATCTTGGGGCAGACCAGACCACAAGTGCAATGCAAATATTTGAGGAACAGGAAAATGCTTTAAAGGTTTCATGGAAGCAGCCATCAGAATCACCACTCAGCAAACTTCTGCTAAGTCACAGTACCATGCTAAGCCACAAGTCAGATAGGAAGTCAGGTCAGGTCCTGTACCTCAATAAGGGAAAACCAGGTCCAGAGGTCAGTAACGTGGTATAGTACACAGCCGTCTCTGGGAGCAAGGTGAGGTTGCTGATCATCTGCATATTGACTGGATCCCTGGCAAATTTTTGAAGCTGAGGGTGTTGACATGGGAAAAAAAAAAAAAAAAAATTATATGGGTACTTTAGTCCTGACAGTTACTTGGGACAGTTTGAACAAACCTTGCTTTGAGGAATAAGAGTTTTTTCACCTGGCTTTAAAGTTGTGAGGAAATTTATTTTTTGTTTTCAAGAAATACACTGGGACCTTGTTTTATCGATCTTTGCACTCCAAGGGCATGGTAAGCCTCCTACTCTATGACTGCTGAAAGGCACAAAGGTGGGAGAGCTGCTAAAGGACACGGCCCTGCCCCTACAGCTCACACATGCAGGCCTGGTGCAGTCATTCACTAAACCAGGCCCAGACATCAGTCCAGTCTTGAGATAAAGTTTGGGTTTGCTCCTCTTATTGACTCCAGTTTGCTGCAGAATTACCTAAATGAAACCAACTTCTGTGCAAGTCCCTCTCATCACAATAAATCAAGATGGGGGGAAAAAAGAAGAACTGAAGTGACTGTTCACCATACATAAACAAAAGAATTGTTCCTGCTAGGAGCATCTCCATTAATTTTGGTCAGAGCAGGAAGATGACCTCCCAGGCACAGAGTGTTTTGCACACTGCAGATCCTTCATCACCAAGATGAACCTGCACTTACTGTTAGTTCATCACCAAAAAGTTGCAGGTCTCCAACAGTAGCATGCTCCAAAAAGGATCCAAGATAATTTTCAAACCAAGCAGTGGAATTCAGACCTGGAACGGCTGCACTGTAGCATTTCTGGTTTGATCCTGCAAAACAGGCAGACACCATGAAACTACAGACTTGCACTGTGTCAGGAGATCAGTGAAGACTGGAGATTTCAGAATGGGGAACAGGCTTCAGTCTGCCAGAGAACTCGGTCAGCAGAGAGCTCCCTAAGTGCCTCTGATCACACATTATGTGCAAATACGCACGTTTGTATATTCAGATTACAAATGCAGATCTCTTGTTCTTTCACAACCCTCCAAATATTTCACCACCAGTCTCTTTCTTCCTCCCTTCAAATCTGCCAAAAGCTTTTTGCAAAACATTAAATTTTTGCATGCAAGCTACTGCCTGGAGACAGGGGAGTGTCTTACCTGGGTCCCCTTTCTGAGCTAAATTCTGAGCTGAATTCTTTAGCTCTAGGAACCAAACCCTGCACTGTTCTTTCACAGCAAAAGCAGTAAATGCCATTTGCACAGGATGTAAGTACAGGACTGACTGTACTGATTTATAAGAATCCTGGATTAATAAAGCCTTCAGGCAGGGAAATGATTCCTGATACCACTTATCGCTGTCATATTCCCAGCCCATTTCCATTGAAGAGACGATACAAATTCACAAAAAAAAAAAAGTCTTTGAAGCCTCAGCCCTGTAACAGATAGCAGCTAATATTGTAGCATACATCAGCGGCTTAAAGCATTCTGTTGTTTCTCAAAGAAAGTAAAATATTTTACCATCCTGGATGAGATAGTATTTGATCCCAGTGTAAAGATTCCTCTGTTCTTCCACTGGAAGGTCAGAATATATCCCATTCAGGGCAGTGACTCTAAAGATAGATAAGAAAGGCAGATACCTCAAACACAGGTGGAGTCAGACCTGTCAGGGTTGGATTCTCACAGAAATGGCTGTTACTTGAAGACTGATATTATCAATCACATCCCTTTTCAAAGCTATCGATGTGACTTCCCTTCACAACAGCCCCCATGATCATCTGGGGGCCACGCTGCCAATTCTGTGATACCACTTTGGAAACGCAGTGCTAGCAGGGTGGTTACACACACTTTGACTGGCGCAGAGCACCAGTTACAAGGTCAGCAGGTGTGTTACAAAGCCTTGGAGAGAGCTTCTCAGAGACCCCGCCTGGGTCCCCATCAGTTCACAGTGCCTACAGGGCCTTTTCCTACCCCAGCAACACGGGACTGAAATAATGTTTGTGTTCAGCACTTACATCATCTGAAATGTCTCACATGACACGTTTTTAGCATGGAGGCAAGCAAAGACCTTGGGCTTGACCAGGAATGGCTGAAGCCCCTCAAGGACCCACTGAGACAAAATGGGTGGGCTCTCAATATCAGGTACTTGCAACATCTTCTCCCACAGGCCATTAATGAAGATCATGTTCCACTCGAGAGAAAGAGGCACATGAGAAAACTGCAGGCAAGAGACAAGAAGAAACACATGAATTCAAGTGAATATGGACTTCTAAACAACCACTAACATGAATCCATGTGAAGCTGAACTTTATCAACAGAATCACCCCTAGCAATAATCCTTTCTCTGGTAATGTTAATTAATGCCTTCCACTGGCATTAATGGTACAGGTAAACAAAAACCTGTATATATGATACCCACCTGCTGGCTGAACGTAGTCAGAGCAGCTACAAGCTTCTTGGCATCATATTTGGAAAAGAACAGAAAAGAGTATTCCGCATCCATAGCGCTGGCAGGTTTAGGGGTAAGGCAAGAATATAAGGATATGAGGAAATCATCCCGAAGGTCCCGGAGCCAAGCACTCTGAAAGAGAAAAGGGAAATCCATATAGAGATAATAAAAGGTGTGTCATATTTTAGAGATGCTGCAGCATGCAATCTCCTTCAGGTCTGCTTCACTAGCTCACCTACACGTGAGTGTTCAGCACCGTAAGGTGATAAAACCTGTTGATAGAAGAATCAGAAAAAAGTCCAGCTTACACTGACTTGAAGCAAGTCAGTTGCAAACAAGCAAACTTGTTCCAGTTCCAAATGCTGGATCCTTCTAATACCTAGTCTGTGCTCCCCCCAAGCAAACAATGGCTTTAAAAAACTTTATTCAAAATAGTTTCCCACCAAAAAAAATGGTCATTTGATCAAAGTGGAAACTTCCATAAGAAATTTCCTCATTCCAGAAACATTTTTCAACAAAAAAAACCCACCAACAAATACCTCAAGAAATGACATGGTTTTGTTAGAAACATTTACAGGAAAATGTAAATCTCTGTCAATTCAACTGCAATTAGTGGCAGCACAGCAACTTGACAAAATGACAAAAGCAGGAAGGGAAGTAAAACCTGAAATATTCCATATGATATTTTCCACGCTGCAAGCACTTTATATTGTGCTCAGAAGTGTTTTACCCTGATGGACCAGGGTTACTGTCATGCAGAGATTTGTTTCAACACTATGATGCCAGTTTCTAAGAGCCAATTTGTTTTGGAAATCTCCTTTGTCCTACTTTCTCATTTGAGGGGGTTGGAAAAGACAGCATCCCCCACTTCCATAGACAGCCCCAGAAAGGCCTCCATGGTGGTGTTGCTGCTCCTGAGCCTCATGACGCAGAACATGGGAAGGTGACATTGCCACAGCTCAGTGCTCTGGATGGTCCTGTGCCCCTGTGTGTTTGACCCCATCCCTTCTCTCAGCTGTGTGGGGGAAACCTTGACAACCCAGACCCCAAGCCTGCACAAGGCTTTGGCCACTCCATTCACAGCCAACAGTGGGACTGCTTTTAAGATAGAAATAGTACTACTATCAAGGAAAACAAAACACTAGCTCATGAAAAGAAGGGGACTGCCGTTACCTGTGCACAGGCGTATTGACCAAAAGTGAGGCTGCAGGGGGAAGCCTCGCCACGGGCTATCTCAAGAATCATCTCCTGGCTGACACTGTTGGGGAAAAAGCAAAGACATCGCCTGCATGTCAGCTGCCCCAGACCTGCAGCAGCTGGGAGCAGAACTGGCTGGGAGCTGGCACGCCATCAGCAATACGTCTGCAAACACAGGCAATGGAACACAGCTGCCCGAGCCCAGGCAGTCAGTGAAAGGAGTGCAAATGCCCCTGACCACATGCTTTTATTCATTGAAGCTATTAGCTACTCTGCTGTAAAGGGTCCAGCCCACCCATTAAGGAGGAGGAGCAATGCCATAGTGTTGTTCAAAAAGCGGATTTGTGGCCTGGTGTGCAGTAAGTCAGTTGTCACACAATAGCAACGAGGCACGGCCCACACAACCAGTACAGAGGAACAAACAACCAACACAGATGATGAGAAATATTTGTTGGCATCATTTAGGAGCAGGGAGAGGGTACTTGATTTATACCTAAGGGTCAACAATTTACAAGTTCAACAAAGGCTTGAAGCGGATCTGTTTGAGTCTTAGGCCCCTACCACCAGCCAAGCTAAGCTCAGCACCAATGTCAAGGCTCTCAGAGCAGTAAATCCCCACCACGTCAATCTGGCTGACACACCAGGGACGTGCCCTGCTTTTCTTTGTCCTGCACAGACACTGCCTTCCTGGGGCTCTTTTTCCCTTCACTGTTTCAATGAGCACAACTTAGAGCCCTCCCTGTCCACAGGCAACCCCAGGACTTTGCGGAGACAAAGATGCTACGCTTGGTTTCAGAGGCTTCCTGCTACCCTAAGAGACGTCCCCAACAAACCAGTACCACTCCCAAGGAAAATGCTGCCAAGATCATTTGCTGATGGGTCACATACCTTTTCACTGAAGCACACACGGCAGATTCTAATTCCCCAAAAAAGAGAGAGACACAAAGATAAAGGCACTGTGATAGGAATATGTATACAGAACCATATCCAAATCTTCCTTATGGAGATTACACTTGGTAAAAAACTCACCATTGACAGGGGAGCCGGAGCACTGTGGCAGGAGAAAGAGAGAAAAGAGATGATCTTAATCATGCAGCTACAATGGTAGCACAACATTATTTGTGATCATTGCATACAGACAAGCACGTTAGTTGCAACCGTTTGTGCTTGCATCTGGCCTGAAAACACACAAGTGCCTTGTGTCCAGAGCTTGCACCTTGCCATACTAGGTAGCTGCCAACTGCAAAATTCATAGCAGTACTGGCTCTGTACTTCAAACAGCTGGAAAGTTCAGGGTTATACAAGTCCTCCCATCGCTCAGGCATGAGGGCCAATGGGACGGATTCTTCTCCTGATGATTTGAGTGCGGTTGATGGGTGCCACCGTCACTGAACTGTCTGGTGATGTGCTTGCATTGAAGCCCTGCAAAGACTGGAGAAGCCACCCCCACCTCACTCACTGCTTGGGAGACAGAAAGGGGAAGGGCATTTACCATCCACCTCCATGCTCACCACACTGGATCTGGCTTGCAGCCATCGGTTCCCATCAAAGCACTGCTAACAGGAAGGGGCCCACACTGACCACCAACCCACACACACGCTTCGCAAGCAAATTCATGGATGATGCAAATTTTAAATATGCAAGTTCGCCTTACCAGATATGTCCCAGCAGAAGCTGCAGCAGCTACCTGCCAACCTGGAAGACAATGTGCTGTGATTTTAGCAACAAACCCAGGACAAAGCTCATTCCCACAGTCCAGCCCCTGTCTGGCTTAACAGACCCCGAACATCACTCATCTCACTACATTATTTTATTCCTTGTTCTTGACAGTATCTCTCAGAATCATGTCTGTCAGACCTTGCTGCTGTTTTCTCTTTGACTCTGTGACAGCTGACTGGGTGAGCAGACACGAGGTACTCCTCTATCCACTCCAGGTCAGTCTGGCAGAGGACAGAAATGCAGTGTTTTAGATGACACAAGGGATTGCATGCATCTCTGTCCCCAGAGAGGAAAAGGCAGGGCAAAGGGCAGAAACAACACTCTGCGAACAGTCCTTCTCTCCAGGACTTCCTTTCCCAGTACCCCTTGTACACCACGGTCACTGATCGGCCCAGGAGGTCAGGCTCACCATGCTTGTATTTCCATGATGCTTTTATCTTTTCAGCTTCTACTTGTTTCTTATGGTGTCCTCATCAACATGTCAATTGTAGCCAAGCCTGTCTTGTATTTCATACATTTTTCCTGCTAAGTCCTCAACTGGATTAAAATCAGTCTATGCTGCAGAACTGCACACAACGCAGGTAACACCAGTGTAGGACAGCCCTCACACCAGTCCTGCCTGAGAGCTTGACAGGGATTCACTGAAAGAAGTCAACCTGTCACTGGTGGCTCTTGGCAGGTCTGTGCAAGCCCTCCACTTCTCTATCCCTTGTTTCCCAACTCTTACATTGTTCCTGATGGCAACTTGTACCTCCCCTGCCAATGCCATGAAGCTGGAAAGCTTAGGAAACCAGTAGCAACATACACAGACTCAAATCTCCCTGGCATTAGCATTATTTACTTCAGATTAGGAGCCTGTCAAGCTCAGCATCATCTGTGTACAGAAAAAAAAGGGGAAGGTAGAGACTTCCTGCTAGTTTCTGCCAGAACAGAACAAGTGAATGCAACAAGTACTACATGAAATGAGAGGCAGGGAGAAGGCAATTGTTAGAGGCTTCTGAGGTTATGCTGGCAGGCTGATTGTTGCAATTTGCTAGCACTGAATCACTGCACAGTGCCAAAACTATGGCAGTTCTCTCTCAGCGGGGAGAACATGACCAACTTCAGTGACTTTGGATCAGGCACTACAGCTGACAGGAGGCTGAAGTGGCTACAGAGATCACCTCCGCCCATGTCTCATCTCCTGGACCCATGGACCAACTAGCCCAGGGCTAGCTGAGTAGTGCCCCACAAGCACATGGAAGTGTGGCAGAGCTCAGGTTCAGCACGATTGCTCCGTGGCTCTAAAGCATCAGTGACTCCCAGCCTTCATACCCCTCTGGGGGAAGCACAGTCAGGATTGGTGTTCCCTACAAATATTTGGTCAGAAGTGACTCATGAGGGGAATGTGGAGGAGCTGAACCCCAAAACCAAACCACAAAAGCAACCTCCTGTGGTTCCTCCACACCATATGGCTAAGGGACTGGGCTAGGCTGGCCCAGGGCAGTGTCAGTCAAACCCACAGTGATATTTGGGCATGGAAATCAACAGGTTGGGAGACCTTTATCACTGAACTGCGATGGGGAAGAAGAGAAGGAGGAGGACAAAAGCTGTGGCTTTCCTGGGCGTGGATGTGTTCACCAGTCCAATGACCTGCGTTAGGAAGGGGATTATAAAATAGCTTGTAGGGATGGATGAGAGGAGTCCCTAATTACTATAACAGCTTTTTTGATTACTAACTGCTACACCTTTTTAATCACTTAATTAATGGAGAACTGTCACTAAGTGGCAAAGGAAACACATCCATAGCTGGGCAGATGCAGTGCTTTCCTCTAAGCTGAACATACATTAACTTTACTCCTAGAGAAAGTCCTGAAAGAGTTACCAAAATCATAACCAAGAGCTGAATGCCAGAGGCTGGCCCTGAGGCCACGCTTCCCTGCTTGTGGACAAAGCCAGGCTGTTTCTACCGTGATAATCACTTCCTGCTCACCTGGACCTTGGAAATATCCAGCCAAGCCCTCTGGCCTCACTCTTAGAAAGCTCTTAGGCACATGTTTAACCTTAACCATGCAAATCATCCCATTGACTCAAAGAGCTGTATTATTCAGAAATACCTATGCAGGGAGAAGGAGGAAGAAGAAGGGTGGCTTCTCACTCTGCAAGATCAGAGAGGACCCCAACCTAACTATCATAAAAATCCTCCCTGTAGGAGAATAAATCTTTCATCTCACAACACTACAACAAAGGTTATGGACTCAGCTCATGTCATGAGCCACCTAAGCTATGTGCACGTCACTCTGGGAGCAATACCCTTCCAAAATATTGCTCTCACTCCCATGGTCTGTTAGCGCACAGGCACGCCAGGCTGCAGTGACGCCTTCCATAACGGAAGAGACCAACTCCTTCACCCACATATGCTGTGCTGTTCACAGTTCACCTCCTCCCCACAGTCCCTCCTCCTCCATGAGGGCACCTCTGTGCCACAGGGCTGCTGAGCACTGCTTAGGCTCAGAAGCACTGCTTCTTTACAACAAGGCCATTTGCATTGATCATGTGGCACCTCTACGCTTCGATCTGCTGTTCTTCCCTTTCAGAAACCTGTTTAGGGACTCTTAAGAAACTTACGTTTTTTATTTCTTCTCTCTTTGATCCATCCCCAAAAGGGCAGTGCATGCAAGCTGTTGGATGCAAACTCTCTACAGGCTCAGCACATTTCTGATATTCTGCCTTTCCTCCATCTCCAGTTATCTAGGGCATTTACAGAAGATGGGTAGATGGATGCAGGCAAGCATGGCCCAAAGAAACAGAATGATTTACCATGGCTGCATGCTGAGCCACCAAAATAACTGACCTGCCAGATTTAAAAGTAATTGCATTAGGAGTCATTAACTTTTACAATCAACCTGTGTGCTACTGCTGGACAGACACATCCCTCCTTGTACAGGATGCTAATAGAAAATTGGAAAAAAAAATCATATTTTCATCAGGGTGTCCATAATACATTGGTCAGTTTTGAACAGCAACAACTGCTTAATTAAGGAAATAAAGAAAAGAAAAAACCTATCTCTATTTGTTTTCCTTCCTTTAGTACTGATAACTAAGCCTACGGCAGAGAAAATGATGGTCCCTTTATGTAGCTGTTCCCCAGCTGGTGGCTCATTAGCTTGTTTGTAACGTTACAAGTTCATGTTCTATTGTCATCAACATTCACTGCAAACATGACCTCAAGTCTGATGAAGAAGGAAGAGTAAAGCGCTGACACTTTCTGAAAGAAACAAAGATCCTGCTCTGGAATCCCTTACTACCAAAAAAACAGAAGGAGGGGAAGTAGAGGAATATAGAGATAACCAGATTCAGCTAAGATTACTTCATAAGTGCTTTCCCAGAGACAGATGGATATACCAACAAAAGGAGCAGTGAGCCAACAGCTCTGCAATGGCAGGAGGAGAATGAATTCAAATTTTGTCTTTCCACTCTGTTTATTACAAAAATTAACATATTTTGGTTCACAGATACAATAATAAACAAGCATAGCTAGAGGCTGGGGATTCAGAGCAACCACCAACATAATGTTCAATGGTCTTTCAGCACAATTTTCCCTTTTGATGATTATCTCAATACAGCTCCTGGTAAGCAAAATCCCCCTGGGACGCCTGTCACCCTCACAGTAATACTCACCAACCAAAAGGAGGAAGCTCAGCCCTGGGAGTAAAGGCAGCATTTCTGCAAAGGTCTTCGGAGTTCCCATACATGCAAGGAATCACCTTATTTCAGCCAAGAAAAATCAGACATGAATAACGCTTAATTGCAAAACCAGATTTGGGAGTAGGAAAGTTCAAAGATGACTGTCTTGCAAGTTAACAGACACACGCCAAGACCCTTCACAAAACCTATCTGAAACCAGACCTGAAGAACATAGAAAACTATCTGAGAGTCCACTATGCCTGGGAAAGCACAGAGCTGCATGCAGAGAATTCAGAGTTAGTTAAGCTACATTCACCGCTGTCGATACCCTGAAGTCAGCAGGCTCCCCTCTGGCAGAGGATAAGAGGTTGCACAACCCGGCTCCAATGGTTAACTGTGGCACTTACCTCCAAACCGTTGTCGCTGGGCTCTTGAGTGTGCAGGGCTATGATCCGTAGAGGGCTGCTTTTCACTGAGCAAACCAGGGTGTGTCTCTGGCTTCTCAAAACTCCATCTGAAATTAGAGGATGGATTCAGAGCACTGGACACACCTCTAAGTTCTTGAGAACACAAATGTTTAGCAGTACAAGTAACTGTGTGTTATTTGTTACTGCTTGTAATTCCTAGGATACAGCAGCAGACACTGAGCCTGAAGTGAGGCTGCATGGACCGAGCAGGAGAGCAATGCATAGGTGCGTTCCCTCCCTGCCCTGTGCAGGATGTGTTTGCCATTTACAGGAGCCAACAAAAATAAAGCTGCACTCGCAGGACAGAGCTACTCCAGGACCACCTTCCTCTAGTTATGAAAGTGTTGTTCTAGTTAATATTTCTAGTTAAGAAATGTTTGTCATCAGGAAATTTTTCTTCACTGGAGCTTGAAACCTTTGGCCCTTTTCTTGAAATTTCTGCTTACCCCAGTTGCCTCCACCTGGGAAACTCCAAAGAGAAACACATGGCAGGTCCTCTGCTGGCCAGACAGGCCATTTTCAGATCACAGGTATGTCGAACTGGGAACTCTGCTCCAGGGTCAGCAAGGTCAGTCAGCTGAAACACAGAGCTCTCCACTCAGGACAGAGGAATAAGGATAGCTGAAATAAAAAAATGGAACCCTGAAATAGAATAAAAGGCAGGACTGGTGCAGGCAAATCCCA